TTTCTGATGGCCACAGACAGTTCACATTCATCCTTTATGGTACGAGGATTTGACAGTTAAACATGGTTTTGTTTTTGTTTCTTTAAATGTTCATTTTCCCTTCTTTAGCTCTAACTGAGTCCTCCTCATCTGTTTGCAGGAGTGTCACTCCAGGCCTCTAAGAATTCCCAGTAGTTATGTTGCCTCATCCTTTCTACTGAATCTGTATGTCTGTGCTCTGCCTCTCTCCTGCAGGCCTGTCTCATTTTACCTGACTTGATACCATCTCATCTCTTCAGTATATCTTCAAATATTTTCAGTGTCACTCTGAGCATGCCCCGTTCCTGAAGCATCAACTGTGGCAAGCCTGTTGGAGTAAAGTTAAAAGATTCTAAATCCTGTGTGATCTGCAGTGATAGTTTTTAGCATTTTATATATATATATATGAGATTAAAAAACTGACCTCTGTATAACATGAACAGGGTTTGCTTTTTTTTTTTAACCAAAAGCCTCCAATAAAATATTTTTTATGGAAATATGAGCTTGTTTTAATGATTTTGTTCAAGAGTTCAAGAGATCCTGTTTTCCCAGAATTGGTCTTGAAAATTGGAGTGTAAGCATGAGATGTTTGTTTCAAAAGTTTAGCAAGCTGTAGAAAAATGTGCCAAGTCTCTATAGCTCCCAGATGGTCAGTAGCATGTCTGAAGAGAGCAGTTTCAGTACTTTAGGGCAGCTGTGAGATTTCATATACTGTTAAATAAAAATTGGCAAGATCCATCAAGTCTTGTGCACTGAAGCCATCCCACATGTATCCAGTTCTCAGTAATTAATTTCTTTTTATGGCACTGCAATAAAGAAATTTATAATTAAGTTTTAGTTATAGTTGCATTTTTTTTTTTCATAGTGAGGTGCATTATTTTACTGAAATGACTGTGGGTAAATAAAATTAAATATACTGTATCGCTGTACTCACATAAATAGTAACTCAGTACTTCCAAATATGATAGTAATTTAAAAATGCTTTATATTACTGGAGTTTTGTTGCTTAGTTACAATGTATATACAAGTCAGGTTCCTACTTTTGCTGGAAATCTTAATTTGATACTCTATAAAATCTGTATGCCCACTATTAATATTCTGAGACTTATTTACTGCTACATTAGATCAATTTTCATGGTAGCCCATGACATCTAAAAATTAATGGGTCTATTTGTTGCAAGATCATATTTTGCTTAATATTTGTGTTCATTTAGCCAAGAGATAATCTTATCTCATCTTAAATCATGTATCACTAAGGTTGCTGATGTAGCATCATATAATCCTAAGGAGCCTTAAGAGATTTTCTACTCCAGCTCCTGGTCAAAGCAAGGTCAACTAGGAGTTGCTCAGGATGTTGTCAGTTGAGTTTTGGGTATCTCCAACAGTTGAGATATGTTTAAATTGGAATTCCCTATGCTTCAGTTTGTGCCTGTTGCTACTTGTCCTGTCACTGGCCATGACTGAGAAGAACCTGATTCCATCCTTTTTACTCCGTGCCCACTTCTGAATTGGGTATTTTTACACTTCGATAAGATCCTCCTGGAGCCTTCCCTTCTCCAGGCTGCATAGTCCCATTTCTCTCAACCTCTCCTTATATGACAGATGCTCCGAAACCCTTAATCATCTCTGTTGCCCATTGCTAGACTCACTTCTGTATGTTCATTGTCTGTCATAGTGTGCAGCCCAGAACTGGACCCAGTGCTCCAGATGAGGTCTCACCAGAGCTGAGGTAGATCACCTCTCTGTCTGCTGGCGATGCTAAGGCAGCCCAGGATATGTTTGGCTTCTCTGTTGCTAGGGCACATGCTGGCTCATAGTCAAGTTGCTGTCCCTCAGGATCTCTAGATGTTTTATCTGCAAAGCTGTTTTCCAGCTAGTAGGCCCCCGCGAACTGATGCTTGGCATTAATTTCCACTTTGATAAATATCAGGGGTTTCTGAAGATTTATAGCATCACCAGTGGATGGATCTGTGACTTTGGGTCTCATTCTTATTTCTGTCTTTTTGACAAAAGTTTGATTTTTTTTTTTTTTATTTTTATTTTTTTTATTTTAAGTGCTGGGTTTCATATCTCTTTTTTTCTGAAAGGATGTAAGATTCAGGTGCATATTACTGTGCATCAGCTGTGCCATAGCATGTGCTCTGATCATGTGTGCTCTCTTTCCGTATCAGGCATATGGGAAGAAGTTCAGGTAGACCTCAGTAGAACAGCATTAAGCTAAAATTTGTTACTTCACTTTTGCCAGCCATGACATGGCAGTTTTTGTAGCTCAGCTTATGCATACAATTTGTTAGCTGCTAGTCACTCAACTGTATGTGAGCTTATTTATTTGCTGAAAAAAGAAATGGGAATAGCAAATGCTCATTAAAGCTCATTGAATTTTTATTAATTGAACCCAAAGCATATATCATATTTATATTGAAGTTTTCAAAACTAGTTCTCCCTCCTGTAATGGTAAAGGTTTTGTACACTTCAGCTCCAAGAAAGATACTGAGAGACAGTAAAATGATCTATTACTTATTTTAGAACACTACCCCTGTGCTAACTCATTTCTTATTTCAGGCAAGGTTTATTTTTTTCATAAAACATATATTGGAACATTGACTTTATGGTTGTATCTTATATCCCCAGGCAGCTTTTTTGGTAGGGTGCTTGATATTAAGTATAGTATATAATCTTTTCCTTCAAAAGAAAGAGGTAGAAGATTCTTTGAATCTGATTATCTTTAGAGAAAGGACTTTCTTTGTGAATGTGCATTACTGAAGCAAGTATCAGGGCTCAGTTCTCCTAAAAAGAATGCTGTCCTTAGTTTTTCCTGAAACAACAATGAAACACCTTTTTTTTTCCTGAGTATTTAAAAGCATAGAACACTCATGTTTTATCAGACTTCGTTCTTAAAGAAATATGTGTGCTGGAAAGATGAGTATTTCACAGCCATGCACATATCTCCACTGTAAACTGGTTGTCAGTAGCCAGTCTCTTTGAGCAGGTGATTCAGGATGTACCTGCAGCATCTTCCTTCTCCCCACCTCTCATGTTGTGTTCTTAGTCCTGGGAAGAGATTCCAGCATTGTGTCGTCACTTCTCTTTGATCATGCTTTCTGAAGCTCACAAGCACAGTTGAGTAACTCACTGTTCATACACAGAACAGGCGTAGCACATTTCTATGAATGGACAGACAAACCTCTTTTCCTTTGCGCATCTTTATTCTTTTGACAAATGGGCAGCACCCCCCCCCCCCAGGATTTGGGGCAATGTTTGTTTATGTTTGATGCTCCCTTCAGAGGTATCATGTTCTGGCTAGGAGTTTTTATGCCACTCAGACTGACGCTTGGAGCAATGATGTCCCTGCCATTGAAGTGAAAATAAAGATTTCTGAAATGCATCTTTTATCTTTCTGTTTGCAGAATGACAGTGTTCCTTCCTTTATGGTTACTATAGTTGTTACTGTATTTGGTCCGTTTTCCAAAACTGTCTTTTTCTAAACTTTTTTAGGACACTCACAAGATTGTGTCTTGCTGCACGGCCAAGACACTGCCTAACTGAGCTGATGATGTCCTTTATTCATACAGCTTTTATTGTTCTATGTTTGTGCTACGTCTCAAACAAAACTATAACATCTTACTCAAAAAGTAATTCTTGCTAATCGAATGATTAAAGAAGCTTAAGGTTACTACTGACATACGTAGAAAACATGGTGATGTTTCCTTTAGTGTCAACACCTGCACATGGGGAATGGACCGTGATTACAGATGCATAGCTGGTGGCTAAACTTTGAGGAAATGTGAAAAGTTATTGAAACATCCTTTGCTTAGCACTCAAACATCATACTTATCAGTGTCAATTACAAACTAATAGCACCTGAATCTCAATGAGAGTTTGACTTCAGTTGCATTGATTTTCCAGTCTATTCTTGTGTTCCCAGTTGGTTCAGAACCTTTTGAAGTCTTCCTGTCCCTGCTCTGGAAAACCTGGAAGCATTAATACAAGCCAGAGGACTGAAAAAAGGGGAAGAGAAGGGAGAATGGAGAGTAGGGGGAGATAAAAGCTGTTTCTATATGAATATTCTGGGAAAATGAATTTACTATATTAAAATCGCAGTGTGTTGTATTCATGCCTTTGCAGTGAAATTAATATGGAACTATGTAGGGGCTTCTATTTTTGTAACATAGGTAGATTTTGGAAGAGATTCAGAGAACACGTGGCACGGCACAGACTTGTTAATCTGAAGCCACCTTTAGGGCTGAAAGACTACACTCCTACTGTAACTGCATCTTACTCTGCAGTTACAGTTCTTCAGTATGGTTCAAAACTAGTATGCATTTGTCCAAGTTTCACTTCTTTGTTCAAGGCGAAGACCTGCTTTTTATTGATTTTGGTCAACTCATCTCTTTTGTTCAGTTTTCTAGAGAAGGGAAGCATATTCTGAAGCTACAGTAGTATACCTTTCCAAAGTTGAATGATTTCAAAATAAGTTTTTACTCTCAGCTTTCTTCTTATATTTATATACAAAAGTTACTCATATATCTTCAGTATCTTGCAGTACAGAAATGCAGGAGGGCAACTCCTATGTTTCAGCCTTTTTAGACTGAAAAGGAATTTTAAGTTATAACTGTAGGGGGGCGTGTTGGGTTCAGATTATATTTCTTTGTGCCTAACTAAAGGTGATTTGGCAATGAGAGGAATTGGATTCAGTTCAGAATTTCTAGTTTTTAGTCATTGCTTTGCCATACATTTCCTATGTTGACTTTTAAATTCACTTGAGGCTAGTTGTACATTAGTACTTAACATCCATTTGGTCAAAAGAACAAATAGATAGTTCCTTAAAACAGTTCAGCATATTTTATAGGAAAGTGGTTAGAAAAATTGTTAATGCTAATGAGGTGCCATGGCACTTCATCACATGGCATGATATTGGGATATAAAATGAAATATCTAGTGTCTTTAAATGTAGTGAGACTGTAATATTATTTTTACTACAGGTACCGAGAGGCTATTCAGAAGTGGGATGAAGCACTGCAGTTAACTCCAGAGGATGCTACGCTTTATGAAATGAAATCGCAGGTAAAGCCTGAGAGTTCTTTATCAGAAAACACTATGCTTGTGAACAGATACTGTGCAAAATTGTGCAGTGGTTGTGCATATAAAATATGGAATAATCTAGGTATTTCATTTTTCCCAACCCTACTGGGCATCTTTTATCAGGAATTACAATAATGCTGCTATTCCAGCCAATCACAATAAACAACATCTTTGTTAGGACAGGAATTAAGACGTTACAGCATGAAAGAAGCAACTGCAGTATTTGAAAATTGCATTGGGAGGAACGAGGAGAGCTTGACTGTGATAGATCAGGAAATTTGACCATTAAAAATCTGCCTGCTCTTTCTAAAGAGCTGGTTTAATACTGACAACATTAAACAAGGATACTGTATGCAAAAGATTGGCTCTGTTCTGTTTTCATATTTAATGTTACATAGATAGTAGTTTTGGAAAAGAGCATTAAACAGAGTATCCTTATGATGTCAGTTCATCAAAGCCTTTATTTTAAAGCTGAGGAAAAAGGCTTGCAGCTGTCAATGTCTCACTGAAGCTATGAGATCAGCTTGTAATTTCAGTGTGTCTTTGCATGGCTTAGATGGCAAAAGTGCAAGGATCCATTATTTTGTTTGGATTGGGAAGCTTTTGTCTCCATCTGTATGCAAAGATATAAAAATATGTATTTTTATTCTCTATTAATTAAAAATGCTCTTCTGCAAAAATAAAAATAGTTTGAATTGAAGATGAGAATAAGAAATGTATGGTTTCTTTCAACCAAATAGACAGATGAGAATGGGAAAAAAATATTTTTAGGATGCTAGCTACTCAAGACATGGCTGAAAAATACATTATCTTTTTTTAAAGATAGGAAAAACAAAATAAAAAGTAAAATGGTGTTAGTAACTTCTAGGAAGCTTGCTATATTGCTTAGTTTTTAAATCTTTGTTGTTTTTGTAATTTTTTTTCTCATCTAAAAACCCAAAACACCACCCCATCCCCCAAAAAACCAAAACACCCAAATCCCAACCTCCCCCAAACCGAAGGTGTGGTGACTGCTCTTTTTTTCCTTGATGCTGTTGCATCTCCTCCTCAGCTTGCAGTCATGTTGTCTGTGAAGAAAGTTTGATACTGCAAAGGGATTATGTGAATAATCATAAGCTCATTTCAATTCAGTAATGCTGAAGGAGGCGTTTATTTTACATAGCTGCAGAAGGTTTAAATCTTACTTGTGTTTGCATTTGGTTTGAGACATAATTTATAGCTTTAGAGGTTTTTCTTCCTGAATTATTCTGGGAGAAGTGTATTGTTGGATTTCTTTGTCAACATATCATATGTATGTAAGGGATCAAGATAGACTGTATAAGGAAAAAGGAAAAACTTCTAACACAGGAAGGGTTATCTGTGAAGGGTTAATTTCTGATTTAGTTTGTTAATTTGAATGGTGTTGACAAGAAGATGCAGTAATTGTTTTTACTTTAAATTGCTGATTTTTTCTAGTGCTATTTTCTCATTCTATACCCTACACAGTGCTGAAAAGTGGGCATTTATTCTCCCCATTTTTTCACCAAGTTAGACTTGTAGTCAATTATTTCTTCCTAACTTCTAAAACTGGAGGCCTATATCTCTTTAGAAGAAAATAAAAAAAAAAAAACAAACCTTCATGCATGTTTTTCAGACCTGTTGGAAATTCTGGAATTGTACGTTCTTTTAATTTGGGCACACTTAGGATCAGATCTGTATGTTATTTAGATAGCATACTAGAATTAACAGATGTCTTGTATGATTTAGGTGCTTGACTCCTTCATACTTTTATGGTAACAAAACATCATAAACATGTAGTAGATCTCCATTAAATATTTACGTGTATTTGGATGCTTTTACATCAATGCTGGCTTAAATGAAATAGCTGCCTAGCATAGTATGCTGACAACTTCCAGCAGTGGAGGGGTGTCACCAAGACGTATGAATGGTATGAGCCTGCAGGAGTGCTTCCCTCACGATACTTTTGCCTCTAGCAAGTTTTGGCCCAGGGAATTCTCTGTGTTTTGAAGTGCTTGAAAGATATTTCTCCAACAAATTTATCTCATTGCTATCTGCTGTCATGTGAACCTTTAGCGTCTGCAGAGCTGTGTCAAGGAGTTCCAAATCTTTAATTACGCATTATTGCAAGAGACAGAATAATATAATTGTTTTAATTAGCAACTTTCTACGATGCTGTAAATGTGGTTAACTTATGTAGCTGTTCACTTGTACATCTAAGTTTTAACTTCGCTAGTAAAAGAATTCTGTTAAGATGTGAAAATAGTCCTGTAATGTGTTTTATATATATATATATATATATATATATATATATTTAACTCTGTTTTGAATAAAACAGATCAGCTAATGGCATTTCTTCTAGTTTGTGAAAAAATGGTTCACATGCTCTTATGCTGGCTCCTTAAAACAGGGTGGTTTTGAAGCAGCATTTATTTTGTGTTTATAAATGATATCCTTTTTTTTATTTTTACCTTTTTTTTTTTTTAGTAGCTTAAAGTCAAGGGAAAGCTGTTGAAAAGGACAGTTATACTCAGTGGGACAAATTAATAAGTAGTTCTTATTTATTATAGTCTTCCGTGCATGCAGGAATTAAACCACCTCTCCAAAAGTTCTCTATTTAATTTGAAATTATTTGAATACTAAAATATTTTCACAGTGGGAAAAACAGGAAAACAGGGAATAATGTTATCTTACCAGGATCCGAACTATGATGCAGTGACTTACCCAAATGGATGCTCACTACAACATCCTTCAATCAGTGCTCCAGCTGCAATGCTTTAATACTGAGAGGTGGTTGCTTACTTGGCACCCCATTCCGTGTATTTCAGCTAAATGGCAAAGGTGAGTTGGAGCTGAGCTGAGGAGCCAGCTGTGTGACTCTGAGCCGTCTTATAAAGTATTTTTGCCTGTCTAATGAAACCAGTGGGGATTAATGACAGCTGAAAGAATAAAGGGACCCAGGCCTCTGCTTCACCATGCACTTGCTTCCTTTCCTGAAGAGTAGTTCTGGGCAGCTGCACTGTTTCTTTTTAATTTCATTTCTGTTATTGCATAACACTTCTGTTAAACTGTGAATGAGAACACAAGAAAAGCTTATGTAAAAAATACACATTTAGAAAATTATTTCTTGAATCATGTTAACAAACTGTCTAATCTGTAAATTGGTAACATCTCTCTAGTACATGCAGATAATTATTACAGATGTCTTTTGCAGCATGACTTATGCTTACTGGAAGCTGGTAAGTATAATGTGCAGTTTGATACCTTTATACTTTTAAAGGCACTGATGTGAGCTCTAAAAATCTGTTTTTGCCAAAATAGAAATATGTAATTCATTCAAAAAATATTTTGGTTAGTATTTAAATGATATTATCTTAGAGCTTACTGTGTTATTCCAATCCAGCATAGCAGCACAAATACTGCAGCTCATACTGTGTAGGTAAATGAGAAACTTTGGGTAGTTCCAGATCTGGAAGAACTGTACACCGACTTCAGCAAGGGTTTTGAGGAGTGCTGGGCTTATGAATATCTGCATATCTTGTTATGTGAGTCACTTGAGGAGGTCATTCATGTTAAGAATGATTTTGAGTAATATGCAAAGATTCTTTGTGGTCTATACTAACTTTCTTTCAGTGAGGAAAAGTTTTCTCTCAAAGTAATATCTTTTGAGAATTAACATTGGATGGAGTGTTTTGCACAGGCTTGAATATCTGTATGTCCTGTTACATTGATTAAGATAATCTAATGTTGGGTTATATAGCAGCTTTCCAATTCATCGGTATTACCTTTCTCAGCAGCAAACGTAACATTTTAAATACTCTGTTGTTTAATATGCAGCTCAGATAAATATGCTGATGACACAGTAGGAATTGGTAAATACTTATGGTAAGTTCTTAAAGATCTGTATTTCAGTATTTCTGAAGAACAGAAATAACATTTAAAGTTGTCAATGACACTTGCAGTAAGTGTATTTCCAGAAAAACGTGGGAATTGTGGAATTGCTCAACTGCTTCAGAAACCCATAAAAGTTGATGAGATTTTATTTTCTGTTGCACTCAGCTACTTTTTGGTCCATTTAAAAACAGATTGCTGTGATGTGTGGAGAGGTTAAGGATGCATCTAATACAGGTCTTTGCATGCACAATGTTTCAGTGTATATACTTGACCATTCCATTACCCTAAATGGCTCCCCCATTGAAAGAACAATGATTGGTAAGTAAACTTTATGCAAGCAGTTAATTTCTATATTTTTGTTGAAACAAACAAAAACACACCCAAAAAAAACCTCCCAAAACCCCAAACAAAATGAACAAACAAACAAAAAGAAAACAAAACACACATACGCAAGGAATTGAAACCTCCCAGTACCCAGAAAGCAGCCTAATGTTGATTCTAGTATTAGATAAATTGTGTCAATTCAAACGAGTGTATAAAGACTACCTGTATTCATACAGTTAGTAAGACTGACTGAAATTTATTGTAGATTAGGTTTTTTAAACATTGGCTGGATTATTTTATTGCTGCTTTGAATTGCAAAGAAGGAGGAATAGACCTTGAAAAATTCGTGGAATTAGAATATGAACATTTGCATGCCAGCCATGTGGGACTCTTTCTTGCATGAAGGGAGACTTAGAATCACAGAGTCGTAGAATAGTTAGGGTTGGAAAGGACCTCAAGATCATCTAGTTCCAACCCCCCTGCCGTGGGCAGGGACACCTCACGTTAAACCATCTCACCCAAGGCTCTGTCCAACCTGGCCTTGAGCACCACCAGGGATGGAGCATTCACAGCTTCCTTGAGCAACCCATTCCAGTGCCTCACCACCCTCACAGTAAAGAACCTCCTCCTTACATGCAAGCTAAACTTCCCCTGTGTACCCCTTGTCCTGTGACTGCAGTCCCTAGTGAAGAGTCCCTCTCCAGCACCCTTTTAGGCCCCCTTCAGATACTGGAAGGCTGCTATGAGGTCTCCAGGCAGCCTTCTCT